GTTGGGTAAAGTATAATAATGTAGATATGTAGTTTTGACGTGTTCTCACGAGTATGATTTAAAACTTCATTTACCAAATGTGGGAGTACCACAAGAATGGAAATAATTAGCAAAAAGTATCTATTTTACTCATTTTTTGACAGTGCTTTCAAGCGTGGTCTTTATCTTATAACATTTTAAGTGTTTTACATTTCTCAATTAAAAATGTATCATTATGATTGCCCATTTGTTAATTATGTCATTAGTTAGTTATAAAACGTTAGCTAATAAGAATAGTCTTACAAATTATTTAAATAATCACCCATTAGTAGAATAAAAATATAATTCAGAATAAATTGTCACCAAATTATCACAAGAATGTTTAGTCAACTAAAATAAATCACACGCATGACTAGACACAATCACAAAACAGTTACTTTATTCTATGAATAAGTCTAGATTCTACAATAATCCAAATCGGCTGGAAATTTCTACCTTTTTCATCCTTTAAAAAGGTTGAAAATAAAAACCTTAATACAATAAACCAGAAATAACCTTTTGTCGCACAAACCGCAGCGAGGTTGAAATAAAAAATATACAAAGGTTTGATTAGCGCAATAAAAAGTATCTAAAAATTGTTTAGAAATTGGTAGTTCTAAAAAATAAGTTGCATTGTTGACTTAGATAAGTGGTCAGTGACGTAGTAAATTCTAGAATTTTCGTAGGTTACAGCTTGAGAAGATATATACTAATTATTATCTTGTGCCTTTCTGAAATTCACTTAACGTGGTAAGCGTAGCCTCTATTGAGAAAATATGTAGTAAAGTTGCGGTAAGAACTGTATTAATGTTGTTGCATTTTTTCTATGTATATTTATTAATTTTCGCATGTTTTGTGTTATTTTGTTCTATGGGTATTCAAAACAAGTAAATTGATTATTCTGTACTTACCTAACTTATCTAAAATCATTATTTCAGGTTAAAAATATATCATTTTCTATAAATAGTGATGTGGCTAAGTTAATGAACGATTAAAGCTTAATGATTTCAATTAGTGTAAATTTTATCGATGATGCGGCAATATAGTCTAAATTCAACCATAAATTAGTTAATTTGATATTATTAGCTTCGTCAGCAAATATTTCATTATAGTTAGTACTATATTAGCGGAGAACCTAACGGGTTACCGGGGCTCCGCCTCGACGTGCAGGAGAGGAACCTGGTTTTTAGTCAGTAAGAGTCTGACATTCCTTCCCGCCGCACCCAGGCGGGAGCAGTCATTCGATGATTACCCCCCTTAAAAAAAATGCTAGGTACAAAATCCCAAATATTCGAATATAGACTATTTTTCCCATGATTTCATTCAAAAACAAGACACAAAAATCATAAGGGCTATAATTTTCACCGAGACACCATGGCGGCGCAGCTAGTCGCCGCTACTAACAAAATGCATGGGCTGGTAACGCAACCAAGCGGTCGCTAGTAGAGGAACTTTTTTATGGCATAAGCCGGTAAACGAGCACATGGATCACCTGATGGTAAGCAATCGGCGTCGCCAATCGATACCTGGAACATCAGATGCGTTACAAGTGCGTTACCAGCCTTTTGTAGATTAGGAATATGAGGATTGTTGGGGAGATTGGAAAAGGGGAGTATTTGGGCCTCCAGTAACCTCACTCACACGACAAAACACAACGAAAGCGTTGTTTCATGTCGGTTTTCTGTGAGGCCGTGGTATCACTCCGGTCGAGCCAGCCCATTCATCCCGAAGCATGGATCTTCTACACTCTATAGAGCTGTATACTTTTTGTTGTTAGCGGCAACTAGATGCCATGGTGTCTCAAAGAAATAGCCCTAACATTGCACCATCAAACTGTATCATAAAATGCGTTTATTTAGAATCTCTCACTTTCTTTACCAGTTTTTATATTTTTAATTTTAACCTCAGTTATTTTTTTTAATCTTCCTACTGACTTTCATTATCTATAAAGCGTCTCTTAAATGTTTAATAACTGTCTTGTCCATTTTGTGGTAGACCGCTTGAATGTTTAGAATGCACAACTTTTATATAAGACTCTCATGAAAATTGGAAAAATTGAGGAATCTTCAAACGTTGAAGGAAATGTCTTGTTGTTATATAATCTTATAATTGCAAACTATAAGTTTAAAATCGCCAATACCCCATTAGCAAACATAGTGATTAATGCTCAAACCTGCTTCTTGTGAGAAGAGGCTTTGCTCAGCAGTGGGCACTTAAAGGCTGTTGATGATGATAAAGTTATCTATTCGTTCACTAATTTATTGTGAAGTATTACACTAATTGTAGCTAATATAGTGATCACTGCGCCAAATCGAACCTTTTAGTTTAAGTATGTATTTACAATTAATGAACTGCTACCAATTAATTAAAAATTACATATTTTTCCGGTTTTTTAAAACATGTCTATTAATAACATCGTACAAAATAACACTCTAAGATAAACTATTTTAAGATAAGTGAAATATACCTACTGTATCTAAAACTATATCTATTTTCTAAAAATAATTTATTTTACTTACCTACGCTTCAAACGGAGTGGAAGTCACCTAACATTGATCACTAAAATCACTCATTGGTAGACTGACTATCATTTATTTAGGTTAAAGGTTAGGTTCAGAACAGTTCTTAACCGGTTTCAGCCACGCGCGCCAAGTCACTGGGTCAAACAGACCGATAAGAACGGCAGACATTTAAGCAATAATTATTATGATGATAAAAATAATAATATAAATATTTAATTTGTTTTAATATTTATTATTTTGGTTAGTGGCGGTGGAATTATACCTAATTGTTCGTTTCCGTGATTTATGTACATGATGTGATATCGTGTCTTTTAATTAATAGAGATATACGCACCTGTAGAAAATTGCGTACACGAGACGAATCTATTGACAAATACTGAGAACTAAGTATATCTATCACAATAAATTTCTAAATAAAATAAAAATATCCAACAAAACTGTACGAAATCTAGGGATCTAAGCAAAAAGCTTAGCAATGTCATTTGTGATTGTGTATTTTCAGGAAAAACGGAAAAGGGGGAAAATGAAAAACAAAATAACTATAAAACATATAGAAGATTGACTACTCGCAGTATCTACATGTATCGTCGATAAAAGTGCAAATGCACTCAAATGAGACCCCACATAGCATCAAAGGTGATACCTTTTTAAAGCAAAAATCATCATTTTTAATGAGACTTATCACCTTAAATTATTGCAACATAATAAAATTTTGTTTAAATTTTTAATCGATGTCACACGTGTCGAGTTATAGTTCAATACGCATAATGCATGAGAGATATCTTCAGACACGACACTCCCCTGTGGGTTTTAGTAGGTACGTATTTATCTGGAATAATCTGAATGGAACAACTATTTTTTCAGTACTCTAGCACTTCGAAATGTGGCAACGACAGGAAAGTGTACGCATTTGACAACAACTGGGTAGAAGGCTCTCTGTTTAATTCGAATCTTTTAAACTGCGTTCTCCCACCTGCCTGCTAAGCTCAAAGACTATCCTTGCGTGGGCTGAGCATCGCCGTGTCCTCAGGGATGTAGAATGCGACGGCTACTTCTCTCGTCCAGCTCTGGTGCAGGCCATGGTGCGGAGCGAAGGGTATTGAAATGCTGTCTTCTTCTGCGAAGAAATCATGCTAGCCAAGGAGGAGGTGGAGCGCATGAAGGAACGAACTTCCTCACGCGCTAGCCGTCGGGATAATCCGGGCACCGTAAGTGTGGGTTTGCAGACGATGAGCAGGGTAGCTCACCGTCTGACCAGAACCAGACCCGTGCGTACGGCGCATCAGCGGGAGCGCGCAAGGCCTAACGGGTTTGCGGGGCTCTGCCTTGAAGAGCAGGAGTAGGAACGAGGTGGTTTTAGTCAATAAGAGTCTGATACTCCCTCTCGCCTAACCCAAGGCGGGAGTAATCGAGTAGCCAATGTATGATGTTCCCCCTCAAAAAAAATATGACAAACTCTCTTACTTAGAGGATGCTCGCATAGGCCAACAGTAGATTATCATGCATTACGATTATCAACATAATTAATAATGGTTGACGAAACTATTATAACACGACAGGTCTAATAGAGCGAAGTGTACTCCAACGTTCAATAAAATTGTTGAAATCAGAACATTCCACAAAGTTAGACTATTGAAACTACCATTAGATAAATCGTACATTTTCCGTAAAATACACCTAAAACGATACTTGATATCTTAAATATTTAATACAATATTAAAACATATTCCAGTTCAGTGCCAATACACGTCAGTATTAGCATGAATATCAATTTAGAAACGCCTAGAAACTTGAGACACTACCAGGTAATGTCCCTAGTGGTTCTCAGAAAGGTATCGTCGACACTCAGACGTACATTTTCAAAGTATTGCTCAAATATCACACGGAGTTATTTAGAGCTATCCCTGTAGAAGTCTATGTTTTTGAAATGTTGAATTTAGAATTGGACTAAGTTCAGAATAGTTTTGCTATCATATGGAATAATGTACACCGCTGCCTACCCCTTCGGGGATAAAAGGCATGATATTATGTTGTTATGTCATCCTAACACATACTTTAGCATAGCTACACACAGAACACATAATTAGTTGCAGTCGAAACATCTCATTACTACAATCGTACTAGTTCTTACCAGTTATTCTAATTTTTGTTTGGACAGAAACAACGAAACTTTATCATCGAATTACCTAATTTACTATCATAAATGAACTTCGAGGGTAATCACACTTAAACCAGATTGTCTTCTGTGAAAATTTTCCGTTAATACTGAAATTGTTAATGAATAATTAAATCATATGTAAATGGGTGAGTTACAAAAAATATTGAACAGTGAATCTATAAAACAATAGACTATGACTCCCGAGGAAGGGTTCACTAGGTTTACTAGGACAAACAATAATTAATAATGATTATTTTAATTACACAATTATTAGGATTGTTGGGAATTAGTGTGGAAGAGCCATGCATCGGCACGAATGGGCCGGATCGACTGGAGTGATACCACGGCCTCACAGAAAACCGACGTCAAACAACACTTTCGTTGTATTTCGTCGTGTGAGTGAAGTTACCAGAGGCCCAATTCTCCCGCCTTCCCTTCTCCAATCTCCCCTATCCCTGAATCCCCAACAATCCTCAAATTCCTAATCCCCTAAAGTCCGGTAACGCACTTGAAACGCCTCCGGTGTTCCAAGTGTCCATGGGCGACGCCGATTGCTCACCATTAGGTGATCCATATACTAGTCCCATAAAAAAAGGAAACTCAAACTGTTGGAAGTCATTACTACTCAAATATTGATTTCTATCTTTGGAGAAGAAGACGCACCTATACTTACTTTTCTGTAAGAGACTGGAAAAGAACGTGTGCCGACTAGTTGGTCACTTTACCTACGTAGAAATAATCAATCATATTTGTTGCAAAACATAGGCACGTGTCTGATTCAATGCTCTAACTAGACTTTATACCTCTCACAAATGATCATCAACGAACGTAAATGTTATTTCAAAAACCATTGGTCCTTTTGTACGAAAGTCGCCAATTCAAATGCAAAGAAAAACAGCAATGAATACAAAAGCAGTTTAAATTATCGTTTAAACTGCAGAAGTTCTGTCGATGCAGATGTAATCAGAAGTAAACCCGAACACCTCGTTATCAACGGTAGTAATATCAAGTTTTGTCTGGTTACTGGAGACACGAAGGACAAAGATCGGTGCATGCACACGATTACTGACTCTGTATTCTTCTAACTACTTATGATAGCCTGGTACTTTTGGCTGTGAACTAAATTATAATTCAGGGTATCTTGGTCTACTAAAAGTATTGTGTTTGTTGCTTAATCAGTGTTAAATAGCACGAAATCAAATGACATGTAGATATTATGTCAGTTAGATTGTGGTGGACTTGTATTTTGTGATTAAACTATTCTGTCTCCTACTACTAGCGAATACCGTTTATTAACGGTAGGTATAATCTTTATTTTTTTTACTTGATTGGTCGATGTTTGACCACCATCTCGGCTGGTGGTAAGCGATGATGTGGCCAATAGAGCACAACGACCTATGAGCAAACTGTTCACTGTTCATAATGCTAATATAATAATAATAAACGGTATGATATATAATGTTGTGTATAATCAAATTCCTATGACGTGTAAGTTCAGTCAAGTCAAAATCAATTAGACCATGAAGACACTTGTGTAAAATTCAAACAAAAAGTATGATTTTATTATTGCTTAACTCGTCGAGTACCGGTTTTATAGACACAATTAAAGAACAATAGGTTGCGGTCACCGGTGACCGCTTGGTGTTTGACAGTTTAAACAATTTGCATTATTGCAGTATTAACCAAAATGAATTAAAAACTACTTGAAACCAGATAACAAACTAAACGTATAGGAAATTATCAATCAAATTGACCTGATTTTGTGACCGGTCTAATCTAAAGATGTGTCAAGGTTTACTGAATATTTCCATAGTTTTGTAATGCGTTTCAATAGTGGGTTCTATAAATTGGTGTTCAATTATATTTAATCATTTTGCAGGGAATTATTAAACATTTTGAAATCTTGAAGGTAGTATGACGGTTATCCCACAAACTTATTTTACTGTTCTTTTTTCGAATCTTTATCATTCATTATTTGTAAATGTCTATTCTTATTATAAAAAACCTAAACACCTGAATATAGGTAATAACAATAGACATGGTTTTAAAATAATTTATTTTGTATATAGCTGCCTCGTTGGTCGAGTGGTCGCAAGTGTGACTGCCGGGCAAGGGGTCTCGGGTTCGATTCCCGGATCTGGCAAAGTACTACAGGGATTTAAAAAAAAATCTCAGTAATTGCACGGAGTTTGGAATTGTGCCCGGTATATGGGATTAGGCTTACCCCCTATTACATTGCACTCATATCATAGATAGTGAAAAGTAGGTGTTACATTGTACAATGGCATCAAGTGCCGAAATGTGCACCTCTGCTTTCCCATTCTGGGATAAAACGCGTGATGTTATGTTTTATTAGTTTGCACATCATTAGTAAATCACTGAAAATGACAAAGCACAATCAAGTATCTAATTATAGACATTGTTAGGTACATAACAATTATTATAGTAAGATGAACACGGAATTAAAAAAAAAAGATTCATTAGTCGTAATCACTTAGTTACGTAATTACACCGAGTGGTCGAGTTTAAATAAATAAGATAATGACGAACTGATTATTTAGATTTTGTTTATTTTCTGCCTAATTATACGCATTACTGTAACAATTACCTCGAAGATGTCTCAATAAAGAACTGTCAAGGTTAAACTCCACGTGGTTTTTTGTAATGGTGTCAAGTTTAGATGGTTCAAGGGTTTGCTTTAAGTATATTGATAAAAAAAAAGAAAGTGAAGTGAAACTACAGATGCAAAATCATCTCAGAATTTTGTTATACATCTTTCTTTCACCAGCGATGGAGAACATTATGTCATCAGACCTTTAATCTTCTACTGTTAGTTGGACACACATTTCTGCCGGCTTTTTAACGTTCCCCACACTAGCACTAGCTTTTTCCTGTGTCGTGGGTGCGTTACACAACACACATACAAGTTTACATACACATGGTACCCAGACCTGGAACAACAATCGGTGGACCACACAAAGAGTTGCTCCGAGCGGGAATAGAATTCGCCAATAGTAATAAGGTATTTAATTTTAGGAAATTGCAAATAATATGAAGAAAAATACAATAGCAACAAGATTCATTTCTAAGACAAGAAATAAGAATGTTTAAAAATATTATTTTAATATACATAATGAAATAACAAACAAAGTAAAAAAAAAGTAAAAATAAACATCAACGCCAACATTTTTAAAGTAAAGACTTAAAGGAGCGCAGCATACAATGGGAGACGACGGCCTGTCCCTAGTCGACGCTTGTCGAGTGCACCACTTCCATTACTCGCTATCCTTACATTGATATATTATACTCCTTCGTACAGCCATTATACTACTTTCAACACTGCGGAATTGACGGCTAGTGTTGTGGGAAGGGAATGCATAATGCTGCATGTTAATATTAAAGTTGTTGTTCCTTTCTTGAAGTAACGTAGCTGTTTTTTGATTAAGGAGAAAGGACGCCACGAGGAAACCATATGAGAATCGTAGTTGGAGGGATTCTGTACTTGGGACAATTTGGTGATCTCATGGGACTGCACGAATGCACGAGTATAGAAAAAGAATGAGGTGAAGATGATTTTGTAGCATAACATATAGTTTATACTAAAACTTTCGTGAGATATACTAAATTTATTCTTGTGTTTTTGGCTTAATTACGTAACTGTTTGACAAGGAATTCGACTACTAGGCAAGACCAGCGCGACAGTCGCCGCGTGTCGCGGAATGCTACTCCCTGTATATGAGCTTCTAGCATAGCTTGAAACTAGTCGAGTTCCTCGTCAAATAATTACGTGGGTAAGCCGAAAATATAATAATTAATATAACACATTGTAATGACGATGAATTAATCTTTTTGATACACATCTTTATTAAATGTAAAAAAGCTAAGTATCATATTTCCCTAAAAATTTAGAAGTAGCAGTTGCAGAAAAAGAATTTCAAAAAAGGTTTTTAATTAAATAAAAACTAGTAAATAGTTTTCGTATCATTTGCATAAATAGAAAACGTATTTGTATAAATATTCTTAATTCGATAAACAAACTGAGCAACAATATGGCATCTAAGAATTACACCAAAATAACAAAAGTTCTAAATGAATTCGAAATTACATTTACATAAAAGCACGTTCATTTTAATTTAAAAAATTGACAGTTAATTTTTTACAAACCCTTGAGTGCAGTATAACAATGAGTTTTTATAATTCATTTTTAGGGTCCAGTAAAGAAAATGTGCAGCTGATACATATTTTAAACCTTCTTTCCTAACCCTCTTACATTTACAAAAATATTCTATTAAAACTCCCAAATTATAATGACTGCCTCGTTGGCCGAGTGGTCGAAAGTGCGACTGCCGGGCAAGGGGTCTCGGGTTGAATTCCCGGGTCGGGCACAGTAACACTGGGTGTTTAAAAATTCTCAATAGTAGCCGGAGTCCGGAATTGTACCTGGGATATTGCAATAGACTCACCCCTTATTACAATTATGGAACGCATAACATAAATGGTGAGAAGTGGTTGTTACATTGTACACTGGCATTAAGTGCCGTAATGTGCACCTTACCCTTAACCTTTTGGGGATAAAAGGCGTGATATCATATTATAATAGACTTATTTGTAATGTGAATCCAAATTCAGTGGCAGATTTTTATCATACAAGTCATATGGCTTGTATGAAAAAATACATGTTATTATAATATACAAAATATTTTTTTATATATTTGATGGGCCGACATTTAACCACTATCTAACTATTTATTGTTGTATAAATATATTCAATAAAATTATAATAATTACTAAAAATGTATCGCGTTTTTTTAACCCCTAATTGATAGTACAGAACCCTAAACAATAACTCTATCTACTTGGCCAATTTATTTGATTGTCATTTGTTATTTCTAGAACATTCCTCGCCGAAGAAGGTAATTACCAGCCACTTAATTGAATGACTTTTTAAAAACCGAAATGCCCTTTATATTCTACAATTCAGTACTATTAACCATTTCACTTAATTTATTTGCTTGAACGGTGCTAATTACTTCGTTAAAAATGTCCTGAGCTGCATTGAATTTGATTAAATAAATGAAGAACTGAAATGGCGTGTTGAATTATTCCGTACAATTAAAATGTGCTTGAATTTAATGTTCGTATATATGAGCTGTATAAATAAATGCTATGTAAACGTTTGTCTTACGTTTTGTTGAAACATTTGGTTAAAATTCGAAATATGAACGTTTCTGGGAATTGGGAAAATTACAGCAAAATGGGATTTATGCGTAAAATATACACATGTAACCAAGAAAATAAGGGTAAGTAAGGCAAGAATCTTGGAACGTGAGATAGTTGACTGAAAACTTACTTGAGACATGAGAACCATGCTTCGGCACGAATGGGCCGGCTCGACCGGAGTGATACCACAACCTCACAGAAAACCGACGTGAAGCAACGTTTGCGTTGTGTTTCGTCGTGTGAGTGAGGTTACCGGAGGCCCAATTACCTTCCCCTTCCCCAATCTCCCCAATCCCTGAATCGCCAACGATCCTCAAACTCTTAATCCCCAAAAGGCCGGTGACGCACTTGTAACGCCTCTGGTGTTCCAGGTGTCCATGGGCGACGATTGCTTACCATCAGGTGATCCGTCTGCTCGGCTTATGCCATAAAAAAAGACAAATATGTCTTAAAAGCCTACTTATCGTTGGCCATCCGCGTCTATAGAAATTTTATGAGCAAATAACGAAAAAAAATTTTACATAAATATATTGCAAATATTATTTTCTTATGAGAATTGCTATTTGTGTGAATTGTATATTGTAGATAATTAAATTCGCTATAACTTTGGACTTCATTTCTTTGTTAAACCTGAATAAATGTTCATATTTATTTATTTTATTTTATTTTAAAATCATCAAATTTCTATAGGGCTACGATGTTCTAATTTGTCAAACTTTTTCGACAAGAGTTTGGTCGATTATCTCCCGGCCAGAGGTGTAACCTTTATTTCCCAGGCTAATGGACATTTTCATTACAGGAGAAATCATTAAATAGAACTGTAATAATAACTGTGTGCAAATAAAAGATTCTTTATTTTTATATCTGTACTTAATTAATGTAATCACTTCCTTTCACAGGATACGGGAGTAAGCGTGTAATAATATACAGTTATATTAATTTCACAGTTTTATTTAGGTCAGATCAGTATACCTACCCATATAACACACCATCACGCCTTTTTATCCCCGAAAGGGTAGGCAGAGGTGCACATTAGGGCACTTAATGCCAATGTACAATGTAACACCCATTTTTCACTATTTACATTATGAGTCCCATGTAATAGGGGGTGAGCCTATGGCCATATTGGACACGATTCCAGACTCCGTGCTTTTAGCACAATAAAATCTCAGTATTAGACTGAGATTTTTTTTAAAAGTCCAGTAATACTTTGCCCGACCCGGGAATCGAACCCTACCCCTTGGGTTCTGGCAGTCGCACTTGCGACCACTCGGCCAAAGACGCAATCGATATAGTATATCTATTTAGGATAAATAATATAACAATCATCAAACACAAACACAGATACATTTGAATACTAATTAAACACAAAATTTTAATAATCGTAATAGTAAAACGTCAAACATCACGCTCTTTACGATGAAACATTAACATGACAGAATAAAACGTGTAATTCAATAAATAGTCCAATTCTCAGGGCACATCTTTCGCGAGACCACTTGATGGCTGCATTTTATTGCTACAGAGCAGTTAAACCATTTTCACGGTTGGTCTCATCATTTCTAACAGAGACCGTACACAGAGTAGTTGCGGAGCCAGAAGCTTCACTGGCACATAACTTTTAGACTGTGTACACAGATATGTAAACGGAGTAACTATGTGTGTCCTCCTAAATGTGGAGTCTCTGCATGTGTGCGAACTATCGTCAAGCTTCGCTACTCACCAGCTCTCTACTATAAATGCAAGTAATGGACCCTAGGTACTGGACTATCGTATTCTGTAGCCAACGAGTTGTCCCCTGCTACTCATACATGATCTCCTAGTACATAACATGGCTTTACGATGTAGGTACTTAATGTTAACACGAATAGTTTCGCCCGACGTAATTCGATGTTAATGTTTGGGCATAGAATTGTTTCACGACTTCGCGTTTAGATATGCCGCAATTTCGTAACTGTAATATCGTTGTCCTTTTCACGCGTCGTCAATTTTAAGTGTTAGAGTGAGATAGTGGTATATCAAATATTATCTATGTACTTCAAACACAATTTGCAAGTTAAAGGGAAGATAAATTGCAGTAATATTGTAGTAATGTCGCCATATTTAAGATACGATCCGTGAGGATAAACTCATCACGCTTACCTAAAATTGCTTTTTGTTAATATTTTTATTATAATTTATGTTTGGACTGCCTATTTGTTTAAGACTGCCTTTGGCTGAGTGGTCGCAAGTGCGACTGCCGGACAAGGGGTCTCGGGTTCAATTCTCGGGTCGGGTAAAGTATTATTGGGTTTTTAAAAATCTCAGTAGTAGCACAGAGTCTGGAAAAGTGCCCGGTATATGGTAATAGGCTTGGTAATAGGCTCACGCCTATTACATGGGACTCATAACATAAATAGTGAAAAGTGGGTGTTACATTGTACAGTTGCATTGAGTGCCGAAATGTGCACCTCTGCCTACCCCTTCGGGGGTAAAAAGGCGTGATGTTATGTTGTTATGTTATATTAATTCAAAAACAATAATCAGGTAATCAAGTTCTAAGATGTCACACTCGAAAGCAATTGAGTAAAACAAATATTCGAAATTAAATGTAGATACCTATACTAGTTCTATATAAAGGGATTTATTTACAAATCAAATTTTTGCGAGACGAGGCCTTCAACCTTTGTAACCTCGTTTGGTTTGATTTACCTAGGACTTTCTTTTTTCGGAGCAATACTGAGAGGTTTTCGGTTTTTTCGGCCTTCGAGCGGCCGAATGCCGAAATGTCATTTGGATAAAAATGAAAGGTTGCTACGATCGTTTTTTCAGTTTTGTTGCAGATTTTGAAATTGATATTTTTACTCGTTTATTGAATTTATGAGTGTGATTTGTTTTTGTTGGGGTTGCGAATGCAGTGGGGTTTGTTTGTGTCTATTTATCATTGTTTTGTATGTCACGTTATTGTGAGTGTGTTAGATAGATTTAGAGTAATGGAAATGTTATCACTTGGTTAATTCGTTGGTTACTTATTGCTAAGGACTTAGAAGATTATATGTTTTGGTTTCTATTCTTTATTCGATCTTCATGCTAGAATAGGAAGTTTTAATAACATACTGACTTCTAAGTAATAATTTTTATTCAGTATTAAAACTTTAGCTTTACAATTATTCATTCAACGAATATGCAACTTCATACATTAACTAAAAACAGCGGGTTACTCACGTGAATATACTGAGAAAAGCTCTACTAGTTTCGAACCACAGAGGGGCTCTTCCTCATGAGCAACGTGCACGGTCGCGGCGATATCGACCACTTCTGTAACCCGCGATTTTAGTTAATTTAGTATATCTCACGATAGACGAGGACACCGGTGACCGCAACCTATTGTTCTTTAATTGTGTCTATAATGACGATACTCAAATCGTTAAACAACTTCATACATGTAAATCAAAACTGCTGCACTGTTATTACCTAGTGCAACCACGTCATCTCTCAGAGGTGTGCTATTGAACACCTAACTTCCACCGATATTGGTATTACTTTGACTTCAGCTTCAACCTCCCTATTGTGCATAGGTACAAGTTTCATCCATATTGTAACACGCATATTGCATATGATACTTGTAGTATCTAAACTTTGTTAGAGTAAATAAGATCTGATACAAATTGTGGACTGTGGCCGATCAATCACAAAACTATAATTGTATAATGTAACTATATATATAATATTAGCCAGTGGATGCAGGTGGGGAGTTGTCGTTTTACGTGAAGGACTAAGGAGTCCTTTGTCCAGCAGTGGATGTCTTACGGCTGTTTTTTTTTATTTAAAAAAAAAACGTTTCTCCACAGTAGGATTTTATTCTGTGTCGTGGGTGCATTTACAAACATACAAGTTCACATACACAATGACAACCAGACCCGAAACAACAATTTGTGGATTGCACAAACACAGTTTTGATCCGTGCAGGAATCGATCCCGCGACACGTTGCACCACCACCGCACCAATAGTGCAGTCAATGACTAAGATGACGATGATGATGATGAAGAATTATGATGGCGTAACTGCTTCTTTAAATCATGCTGTATACGGAGGGCAACCGAAGAGTGGTTATAAGTACTTTTATTTTGTTTCATTTAAAAAAAAGAACTTTGCTTTACTCAATGTTTTCTCCTATATCGTGAGAGCGTTTACAAATGTACAAGTTCACATACACATCATACCTAGACCCGGAACATCAATCTGTGGATCACCCAAAGAGTCTAAATCCATTCTTACTTAACAACCTTTCTGTAGCAAGTTAAAATTGGAAAATGTTGAATTTGGTTTTCTCAAACGTAAAGTACCAATTTAAAATGTAAATAGAATTCGTTCTTTTGCCATAAAAAACGAGTACCATATTATTTTTTTAGAATATTGGCATGTGACCAATAATGCAACTGCAAATCCCAAATCATAAACCGGCACTTAGTGAACACCACCTAAAGCACGAATTGGACAAAGAATACCATTTTCCATACTCATCCTCACACATTACCACAGCATTTATACGTACGAAATTTGCATTTTATATTCCAGCACTGCAAACAAGTAAAAAAGTAACTAACAAAGTAATCTCGTGACGAATGACTTAATTTTTCAACAGGCCAGGAATCCCGAATGCAGAGTCGTTTATATAACAAAATGGCTGCCACTGATTTGTAGTGTTCACACGTATAATGTAGTGTTTGTTGTTGCATTTCTTGCTAGTTTGTCAGCCAGGGCTTAATACTGTAGAGGTGGTTTTTGTAGCAGAACGTGATGATATGATTGAGTTTGGCATCGAATGCCTTGGTGTGATTTAAAGTACGTGCATGTTCTAAAGCCAAGGATACACTAGGGGACAAATGTTCCTCGACGAATATCGACGAGACGTTTTTTTTATCACCTGATGGTAAGCAATCAGCACCGCCCATGGACACTTGACACACCAGGAGCGTTACAAATGCGTTACTTTTGGAAATTGGGAATTTGAAGATTGAGGGATTTGGGGATTGGAGAGACGGGGCGTGGGGTTATGTAATTGGACCTTCGTTAACCTCACTCACAAGACGAAACACAACGCAAGCGTTGTTTCACGTCGGTTTTCTGTGAGGCCGTGGTATCACTCTGCTCGAGCCGGCCCATTCGTCGAGCCGAAGCATAGGGCTCTCCCACACTTAAATGTACTTGTCCTTTTTTCGTACCTATAGAAATTTTCAGAAGCAATGTAACTTGTTAAAAGAATGAACAACGATCACAAGATGTTACTATCACTTGCACCAACTGTCTCGTCTATCATCACAATTCACTCGTTGTTTCACCTTTATACGAACTAGTTTCTCACTACTCAGGATAAACTTTAAATACATTGTATGTTTTCCTTTAATCCCAAGATCAGTACAGGAACTCCCCGCGACTTCTCACTATCTAGGTTAGAACAATTTTATCAGGAAATTACTTTTCGTTTCACAGTTGAGAGTAGTTTGTTGTTCCTTTAGACACATGTGAGTTATATATTTTTAAAATTTCAAATTGATGTTTATTACTTTCCAGATCTTAAAATGAGACTGCAGCTGTAAAGTAATACAAGGACAGTGCTAAAATATAATTATGCACACTGAAAATTGTTGAAATTATATTGTAGTAAGTATGGTACATGGACAAAATGTTTATTTTTTGTTTTTATAATAATTATCGTGAGACATACTAAATTAACTAAAAATCGCGGGTTACTCGCGTGATTATACTGAGAAAAGCTCTACTAGTTTCGAACCACAGAGGGGTTCTCCCTCATGAGCAGCGTGCGCGATTGCGACGATGTCGCGCAGCCTACAAGTAGTATACTAGTAGAGAGAGAGCGAAACTAGTAGAGCTTTTCTCAGTATATTCACGTAAGTAACCCGCGATTTTTAGTTAATGTCTATTTTTCTTAATACAAGTAATTATCCACTACCTATTTTTAAGTAGTATTATATTTGATAATGTTTTAACCCTTTGAGTATCGTAATTATAGACACAATTAAAGAACAATAGGTTGCGGTCACCGGTGTCCTCGCGGTGTTTGACAGTTTAAATTTAATTTTACAAACGTATGTAGTACGTGCAATGTTAGTTTTTCTAATTATTGTATTCCACGAACCAACATTCCAAACTAATATTAGCGTTCCTTATTCTCTGCCTACCTCTATGGGAGATAGACGTTAGGTTATGTATGTATGTACAAACAAACAAACAATATTAAAACCAAATTCAATAATACACTGATTTAATACATCGATACCAAACAAAGTCGAATACGAGAAAATTTACCATTCATAGAATTCTTGGAATATCCCTTTCTATGTAGCGGGAACATCGAAATAGGTCAAATGTATGTAGAACACTAAGTTTTAAAACAACCGGGAGATAGCATGTAGTAACTTTTATATGAATAAGTTTGTTTTGTTGATGACACAAAGGATTCGCGGGCCACTGCGTCTGACAAACTAATTTACTCATTCCGTCATATGCAGAGATATATTGTGGTGTATAGAAAATTGTTTGTATGATGTTGTGTGACATTGGTTTATTACAGATTTTAAACATCATCATCATCATCGTCAATCGCTCGTGGACATCAATCAATCATCCAGTGTTGGACGATTAGGTTTGCCTCAATCTCCACGCCTGACTTGGGAGTTTGTTCAGGTCTATTAGAAAAATCTGTCCTGTCTTTGCCAAATGTGTGAACCCTTTAATCGACACACACACAACAGTAGAGGTTTAAAGGATTATAGGATTTCACAGTATTATTTTATATGAAGTAGTTATATAATAATTTATTAAAAATAAACCAACATAAAAACATTAACAACAGGTAGTATTAAATAATCCTCATTGCAGCTTGCCCGTCTTTAACAAAACGTACCTAACAATAGTAGCAAAACCAAAAATCCAGCCAAGTGTGATTGTTCAGATACAAAAAAATAAAAAAGGCTATTATTTCAGCGAGAGAAAGGGTTCTGGGGCATATCCCCCTTTGTGTACTTTTTGTATGGGATCTGCAAATGATAGCAAAAACGAAACAGGGGACCTAGATCTTCTTTTTGGTATATTGTTACCCCATCTAGGCTGGCTACCGATTGTTTGAGGCTCAGTGAACATCGTATTTCGTGCCTTTATTTACTATGTTTGCTGAAATATGACAAGATCAATGTATGTAATATGTGGTATGAAAACACGTAAGGATTTTGGCAAAGTGAGTCGTTGGCAGTGATACTCTTTTCAGAATATCAATTTTGAGGGATTTGTCATCAGTAAAGTGGTACGGTCTTAGTTACTGTAGTTGTCTACTATTACCTACTACTTATTGACATGTGCAGGTAAAACTCCGTACAATTTTTGTACTGATATTTTAGGAGATCTAAATTACCCTTTGGCTTTGGCTGCCACCAAATACTTATGCTTATCGGACTAGTCGGCCAACGAGACAAATATTTCGAAATATTCCACTTTCCTGTTCACTTGCTTGTTTCATATGGAATATTCTGTCTATAAATAAAATGACACTTGTACACACGGCCACACATCAATCTATACAAAACCAGTTTATCCTGGTGTCGTGTCGCATCATATTTCCGCACATTTAACGTTCAGTTTATGCTGGTTATGTAAAGCTCGATGTGTAGCCATTTGTACCACAATAGACAGTCTGAGACCAAACAGTCACTTCTTATAGATTAAAACGAACGATTAATTAATTGAAAATGTTCCCAAGATTCGAACAAGCGACAATGATTAGTGATCGCCCGATCAAGAGAATTTGTTTGTCCGTAGTAGATGATTGAGGGAACAGTATGCAGTGTTCGTTAATCTGAGACCTTATCAGTACGATTGGAGACGGTGTCTAGTGTCAGCTGTGATGAAAGTTTTCCATGCATCGCTTATAATATTGAATCGGTTACCAACCGGTTAATTCGTAGTGTTAAATAAAGCAAATAGTCAAAATTTTAACATTACTGTCTGATTAGTCTATTAAAGGTCTACCTTGGGCATAGTATGAGACAAATCTAATCTCAATTTCATGCATGGATTAAAAATACAATACCCAATCAACACGCGCATGCAACATCAAATAATAAACAGCCCACCGCAACAACAATGAACAAAACGAGTTCAAAACAAGAACTTAGTCTAAAACAATCAGGTACAGTCCCATAATTCCGAGACATAACTTGTGCCATCTGGTCCAAAGTAAACAGTCGCAGTGGAAATTTCTTGGCAATATAATTTTACTTGAGTCACAGAGTAAAAAAGTGCAGTGCGGTGGCAATACGTGCTTCCTCTGTCGGTTGATTTAAAAAATTAAGTCTGCACCTCAGACGGGCGATTTGCTGAACTTGCCATTGTTCGGGAATCCGTTTTGTTGGAATTATGTTAAAAGGAATATTCTTTCGAGATTAAATTTGAGTCTTTTGGCAATTTACTTTTTCTTTATGCAATTTTGGAACTTCTGGTGAATGGTGAGTGATCTCAATAATAGGGGTGTTCTTATGTTGTGTAGAGGTAGAATACCGATCAAGTGTTATGACCTTTGTTCGGAAATTTGTCAAAAACAATCACAATCCTTTACTCAAAATGTTTGCTAAATATTTGAGTCCATGTTAGAAAAGAACTGACTGTTTATGTATTAAAATCAAGAAACAGTGCTCTTCAAACAAAATAAACCTGGACAACCGCAATTTTTCTCATCAACCTCCTTAGAGTCCAATACAAAAACGACCTTCGGAGGTCATAAATACAATAAAACATGACACAATAATTTCCAGACCTTTTACAATACTTTTAATTGCTCCATGTATGCTCGCACTCAGTTAGAGGTCCCGTCTACAGCTCTCTGGGGGACCCTAACTGAGTTATAGTACCCTCGACGTCACTATAGATGACCGCGGCAAGATGTTCCAACTTCGGGTGGTCGCTATATGGAATTGTGGAAGTTTGTATTCAATTTTGTAGCGGTTGGGTCAGTTTCAAATAGCAGTTTTGTATTTATAGGTTTGTAGTACTTTTACACATAGAAGTACAATTTAAGTGTTTGAGTTCTTTGACAGTTTGAATAAAAAAATAATAACTTTGTGAGATACATATGATTTTATTTTATTTATTATTATTTTATACTTTATTGTACGTACACACAGAAAAATAAATGTACTTTGTAATAGTAATTTGAGTGCAATGGGCGGGCTTATCACACGCGGCTTTT